TACCCTGGACTGCCAGAAAGATGAGCAAGTAGGTCTTAGAGTAAGTTTAGCTGACATATCGCTGGAAGCAAAAATGACAAAACTGAAGCTGTCTTACTTTTCATGTGTCATAAGAAAGGTAAGTTCTTTGGAAGAGACAATAATGTTGGGAAACACTGAAGGCAACAGGAAAAGAGGAAAACCAATTATGAGATGGACTGATTCCATAAAAGAAGTTATAGTCATGAGTCTACAGAAGCTGAGCAGGGCTCTTGAGGACAGGACACTATGGACATCACTCATTCATATAGAGTTGCCAAGAGTCACAGCCAACTCAACAGCATATAACATACACATATAAATGTTAGCCACATTTAAATTATTTTCTTTTTGTATTGACAAAACAAGAACCCAAAAGGATATATCAAGCCAAAATGGAAAAACTAGAAGAACTTAGGTTTTAAATATACCTGGTAACCTTCCAGTAGAAAGAAAAAACTGGCCTCCTCCTTTTCTGACTTCCTTGAATAAACACAGCAATACAGTTTAAGGAGAGATGGGGTCCTGCTAAGCTTCTCTCTATAGCCCTCATCTGTCCATTTCCTATGAATTCCATCTTGAGCTCCCAGATGACTATACAAGTGAGAAACAGGTCCATTCTGCTCTTGTTCTTTATTCTCCATTGTGTCTGTACTTCTTGTACTCTAACTTCGCCTCAGAGCCATTTGGAATAACTCCTCAAAACAAAAAGCAAAACGAAACTAGAAAAGTAACATCTTCTATTCCAGTATAGAACATCAAAAATAAGTCTTCACAGTACAAATAGATACCTTCTCTACTATCAATATGCTGTTTCTCTAAGAGAATATATCTTGTGCAGCCAGCATTTTCAAATTTAAATCAAATACAATTAACATGAAAAGGTTTACAATTAAAACACCACTCATTTCCCCAAAATTCTCCACACACAACAGCCCTGTTACTAAACATACCGTGTACAATTCTTAATGGACTATTCTGACATCATATATGAACAAATGTGCACATTTAATTACCAATAGAAACCTAAGTACCATGGTGGCCAGCAAGCCAGAAAATAAGCAGGAAATTCAAGACATCTAAGATATCTCAAAAAGCAAGTGGGCTTCTTGTAAGATCAAGATACATATGTACAGACATACAACCAACAACACAGAAATGAAGAGGAAGACAAAGAGACAGCTGTATGGAAATATCTGGTTACAGAGAAACAGAGAGATACATGGACCAGCACACATACAGTCAGATACACACACACAGAGACACACACAGAGATAACCAGCCCAGCTGATTACAAACATACCTCTTCTCAAACTTAACTGACACAAACTAAAAGAAAGAAATGTGCACAAAAATATGAAGAGGCTAATTCCAATGGTCTTACATACAAAGATAAATAAAACAAAAGTCACAAGGGTCCAAAAAAGCAAGACACATGGTCAGAGAAATATGAACTAAATAAGTAGAAACATGCATTGAAATGTATATACCCAGAGGGACATATGGAGACAAGAACACTAAGGGCAAGGAAAAAATACACAGAAGAGCAGACACAAAAAGAAGAGCTAATACCCAAACAGAAATAGTTATCCAAAAGTAGGCTTGCATACACACACAAATAAAAAACAACCAGACATAGAATCCATACACTGACAGAAAGAAAGAGATGTACACACAGACCCATTGGCACATGGGCTTGGAGTAACAAATGTCCACAAAGATATTAACATGCCCAAACCCAGAGGAAAAATAGAGGAAAGCACAGAGACACACAAGGACAGAAGAATGGACAGAAAGAAACAGGAACACACTGACATAGTAAGACAGGAATACATAGAGACACAGGCACAAAAAAAGAGAGAGAAAGAGAGAGATTTGTTCCTACTAGCAAAACACACAAAAGCTGAAAACTGGAAGATATCAGGTATGTTACTTACTGGTATGTTGGCAGAAAGGCCAATGTGCATGAGAAAAGCAGACTTGGTTTAGGGGATTAAGTGTATTTTTTCATGTTAATAATGAAAAACTACTCAAGCCCTCTCCACCACCACCACAATCCTTTACCTGTCTACCCCAAACCACTGAACTCTGAAACAGCTCAAACAAGCAAGCTGTTTTACATGCCTAATAGATAATGGTATGGCTGCATCATATCAATCACAGTCCAAATCTTAAAACACTTACCACTAAATTCTAATTTTTCAACCAAAGAACTGCCCACCTCTAAGGCTACAGTATCATGGGCAAAAAAGTAACAAGGAATGTCAGGAGCACTCTGAATTCATTTTCCTGATGCCCTATACAAAAATCCTGTTCATAGCAGGCCTCCAACACCTTGAGGCAGGCTTTTGTATAGGGCAGGAAGATGAAGCAGGTGACTTCTGTGAAATTGCTTTAATCTCAGCACATAAAGAAGAAAACAGTTTGGCAAATGAGAGCAGATAAACCTACTACTATGCCCAATGGAGGAAAGGGATGGGGGTAGATACGCAAACATGTGCTCCCCATGGTAATTATTTATTTGTTAATCAGCAAAACTCACACATGTGATTTAATGAAATGTGGTATGAAACTATTAGATGTGGTAATCACACTCCAACCATCTGCCAGACTCCTAAAAATATCAAAGGGAAGGGGAGGGCATATATTCCCACTTAAGTCAGACCTAGGATTTTAGATACTGTTGTCCCCAATGCATAGTAAAAATAGTCAATATCATGGTTACCAGAGAACATCTGAGCTGGAAGGTGCCTTAAAGAGCATCTATTGACCTGGGAGTAGAAAGTCCTTTGATTTCCAATCTGAATGTACCATGATGAGTTTTGTAAACTTGGTCTAATCTCTTTTTGTGCCTGGATTTCAATTGCCCAGTCTACAAAAGGGCCCTGACCTCCAGGTTCCTCTCTAAATTCTGACCATCTCTGATTCTTTGGTATGAGCTTGCCCCCTTTCAACTCACTGTTTTGAATTTTTGTCTAGTGAAGAAGCACAATTACTCCTTGAAAATGGAAAGGAGAATGTTTTTTTTTTACCAAGTCAACAAATCCTTATAATATATAAAGAAGCTGAAATAAGCCCAACCAAATACAGACATGCCTACTTGAAACAAGCCCCAAATGTTAAGTTTGAATAACTCAAAGGGGCTTTGGAGGGGGAAGAGGGGAAACTGGAGAGCCTACTCTCCCTGCCATCTCCTGAACACAAAGTGTATAACCCTCCTTTCACACTTGCTCAGTACATAATTAGCAGTCCACTTCCCTCAGCTCATAGATACTAAAATTGTACAGGGGGAAAAGTACATCCCTTAAACTACACATATTCAGGGTTTTAGGAAAAACAGGACAAAGTTATATCACTGAAGCATAGTATTTATTTTGTGATCATAAAAAAGCAACCATTTAAATCTTTAAGCCCTTTCTGAGTTAACAAAAATACTTTTAGACTTACCCTTTCACATATGAAATTAGAATTTATGTTCTAATTTACAGATGAGGGAATTCTGGCTCACAACTGTAACTTGTCCAAAGTTACACGGATAGTAACCAACAAAATCTGGACACAAACCCTGTATTTTAAGCATATATTCACTGCTCTTTCATGCATCCCAGTCTTCTTAACCCATGGTCCTCCTGGTAGTCATTCAAATTCTTCTTTCATTTTGGTCTAACCAGAGGGAAAGAAAATGATGGCATAAACTCAGGGCTAAAAGGAATTCATATCTAGCTCCCATCTCCATGTCTTCACAGAAAATAGTAGGAGTGAGTGAGGCACTTGGCTGAAGCACTCTTGGAAAGGAAGCCTTTCCCCATCATCCTCATTACTCCTAGTTCTCAAGGGACATTCTGGATAGGTTTATGAATCTAAGAAAGTAAAACATAGATGACAAGTTGTCCAGGAAATTCACATCCCAAACTCATTTCTCCTAAATTAGCTGTTACTTTGATTTTCCATTTTACAGTTATCCGAGGCACTCAAAAACCTGGAGCCACAGTGCCCGGGGAGGCTGTAAAAGCTTTTGTGAGGATTACTTAAATACATGCTAGGGAAGAATCATGTTGAAGGGAGGCAAGAATCTCTGGCTAATGGAGTATAGACTTAATGACCACTATGAAACATAAAGCTGAAGTGGTGTGCAATGATGAAAACTGCAGTAAGGCCAGAGGACAAAAAAGTTGAAAATTGAAACTCAACTTGGTCCACATCCATCAAGTTATTCACTGTATGTATGACCTTAAGCAAGTCCTTAGCCTCTTTGAGTCTCAGTTTCTCATCTATAAAGTGTAACTAATAATTGCCTAGGGTCAGATTTAAAAATTAACAAGAAAATGCACTGACAATATCTAACACAGCACCTAGCACTGAGAGGTAGATGCTTGAAAATGTAGTATTTGATCAGAATCAATTTACCCATGCTAGAAAAGAGCCTGGGTATAAGTTTTTAAAGCAAGTGGAATAGTAATGCTCTAGGTCTGCTTACCATTTATTTGGAAGAAATCTAAGATCAGCTCTTATACAATAATCCTTGTCACCTCGATCCTCTATACAATTTATACACAAAGAACTGGAACTCATTAGGACTACCTACTAAGTCCCCCATAGCTACTACTTAGCAATCCCCTAGCTCCCAACTACCTTTACATACCCATTTCTCTCTCTCCACCCACCTCTCTTTCTCTCTCTCTCTACCCATCTCTCTCTCTCACACACACACACACACACACACACACACACACCACAACAAGCGGCAACTTTTCATTTTTGTTTTTAGTAAGACAGAATTTAATTTAAAGGCAATTATTTATATCAATGTACCCAAAATAGAAGACTTCCCCATTTTTAGAAGGGCCATTCTCACTGTTCAAAAGGAATATGACTTGGGATTTTGTTAATGGCATTTCCTAAGCAGCTGCTCTTATGTTTACTATTGAGATGTCATTCCCCAGTCTATAAGATCTTTGAGACCTGAGACGATGTCTTCTTACTTATTTCTCTTTGTATCCTCAGAAATCAGCATAGGATCTGGTACAAAGTTGGCACTTAGGAAACATAAATGAATAAAAGAATAAATTAGTGAATTAATAAATGAAATGTTTATCATTTTATCAGATTAATATTGTTGAGAATTAAAATCATGCTGCACAAAGACTAGAGTGAATCCTTAACTTAAAGTTGGAAATAACATTTCCAAATCAAACATGTACTCACTCATCTATTCAATAAGAAATCTAAAAAACAGTCCTAAAACCAAAAATTCATATTCCAAATTCTGATCCCTCCACTTGTTGTCCAAATTACTGTGGAATATCCCTTAATTAACTATGGTCTCAATTGCCTTATTGATGAAATGATAATGTGGGTCCATTCAGTACCTACCTCCAAATTGGTTTGAGAAACAAAAGAGATAATGTGCCTGAAAGTCCTTGGTGAACATTTGAGCACTTTATACTTCCCAAGAATTGAAATCATTTAGTCTCAAACATGTTCATTGGCTCCACTCCCATTTTCCAGTCCCTTCTATCAATTGACTGTAACAAAGCAAGCCATCATATCCTCTGCAAACCATCTAAAGATTGAATGCAAAGGGGTAAGAATATACAAATATTGAATCACTATGTAGTACACCTGAAATGAATATAATATTATATGTTAATTATACCTCAATAAAAAATAGGGGAAAGGGAGGTAGAGTTCTACATCTGCAAGATTCAAGCAATTTATGGCTTACCTGATTTGTTCTACACCTTGGATATGGCTGCCTGAACAAGTCACTACTGTCATAGATAAAAGACCTTAATACCCACATTTAAAGTCATCCAAGTAGCATCCTTTTTGGATCTACTCTACCTTTCTGGCCAGAGGTAGTTTCAGCAAAGTGGGGAGGGGGGCTGTGAGGAATATTTTGATGGGAGGGAGATGGCATGGTGGAAATGGAGTGAAAAGCAGTGCCAATCATGGGAGACCGATTGAGGAACTAGAGGCGGGAAAAGTAGAGGAAGAAAGGCAACAACTAACAAATGAAGAGTTTCCTTGAGAGAGAAAAGGACTTGGAAACTGTGGAACAGGACCAAGGAAAAGCTCAAGGCTTTGTCAAATTTCAGGACTAAAGAAGCCCCAATATGAAGCCCCAACAAGAATACAGAAGCTGGCAAGATGGAGACAGAGTAGGACAGAGCAGATTCCAGCTCCCGTACACATGGGAGAAAATCCTGGCAGATCTACTGAGGAACAGTGCAGTCAACCAACGGTTCCCCAGGATTTATGAAATTAAGAGACGGGAGATTGTGATGGACGCTGAAAGACTAGACAGCGGCAGGTCAGTGGGGTCTCAGGGACCTAGGTAAAGACAAGAGCGGTGGCAGGGGCAGCCAGGTGGCCCCAGTGCCACCACCTCTGTCGGGGTCCAGAGGCATCAGTCTGGGACCAGTGCCAGAGACATCTGCCATGGGAGCTCGGGAACCCAGCAGACTCGTTAGGCAACCAGCGCCGGTCATGAGCTCCCTCCCTCCCTCCCCGTCTAAGCAAGGCTGGACAACACTGGGCAGAGACCTGTCTGGTTGAGTTTACAGAGAGGGTAACAAGGACAAAGGGCCGTGTTCAACTGCAGACTCTCTGGTCACCAGCCCGGGAGAATTGAGAGACGCATTGTCCTCACCAGTCTGATTGGGAGTTGGGCTGGGCTGAGAGGCAGGCTGTCAGGAGAAGGTTTTTTTTTTTTTTTTTAAAGTGGACTCAGGTGTTATCCTGCCATGGCATCTTGGTTTGCTTCCCACCCAGCTGGCAGTGATCCAGAAGAGTGGTGGAAGCATTTTAGTCCCACCACAGGACTGGGAAGGATCGTGCCAGATCCTGCGGGATACAGGCAGCCTGGCGGATGCACCTGCGCACACACCCCAGTCTGGTAGCCTGGCTGGCAGGAGGGCCAGCACCCCAGCCCACAGAGAGGTCCTGCTGCAACCAGAAAAACCGGTTTGGACAGTTTGAAAGCAACAAAGGAAGGGGTTTTATTGTTGTTGTTTTTTCTCTAGTAACGTTTTTTCCTAATCTTATATTTTTAATTTTATTATTGCTTTATCTTTCAATACTTTGATCCTCTCCTTTATTTTTCCTGTGTTAGTTCTTCTTCCTTTCTTCCCAAACTTAGATAGATAGATAGATAGATTGATAGATAGATAGATAGATATAGAGCCCTTCATCCCAAAGAAGCTAAATACATTTTCAAATGCACATGAAACATTTTCAAAGATAGACCACATGATAGGACACATAACGAGCCTCAACAAATTCAAGAAAATTGAAATCATACCAAGCATTTTCTCTGACCACAAGGGACTGAAATGGGAAACCAACCCCAAAGGAAAAAACCAAAGCATCCAAAATCATGGAGACTGAATGGTATGCTATTAAACAACAAATGGGTCAAGAATGAAATTAGGGAAGAAATCAAAACGTTTCTGGAAACAAATAAAAATGAACTCATAACAACCCAAAACTTATGGGACACAGCGAAGGCAGTCCTGAGAGGGAACTTCATAGCAATACAGGCTTACCTAAAGAAGATAGAAACATTTCGAACAAACAACCTAACCCTTGAGCCTGCAAGAGCTCCAGGAACAACAACAAAGACAGCCCAGAGCAAGTAGAAGAAAGGAAATAACCAAGATCAAAGCAGAATTAAGTGACATAGAGACTAAAAGCACAATTGTAAGGATCAATGAATCCAGGAGCTTGTTTTTTGAAAAGATAAACAAAATTGACAAGCCATTAAGTAGGCTCATCAAGAAGAGAGAGGACCCAAATAAACACAATCAGAAATGAAAGAGAAGAAATTACAACTGACACAACAGAAAGAGAAGGGATTATAAGAAATTACTATGAAGAACTATATGCCAAGAAATTTGTAAACCTAGGTGAAATGGACAAATTACTGGAAAAATATAATCTTCCAAAACTCAATGAAAAAGAAGCAGAAAACCTGAACAGACCAATAGCAGCAAATGAAATAGCAGTAATCAAAAACCTTCCATCACGCAAAAGCCCTGGACCAGATGGTTTCACAGAAGAATTCTACAAAGCTAACCCCTATTATTCACAGACTGTTCCAAAAAATCCAAAATGATGGAGGACTCCCAAACTCTTTTTATGAAGCCAGCATCATCTTAATTCCAAAACCAGACAAAGACACAACAAAGAAAGAAAACTGCAGGCCAATATCGCTGATGAACATAGATGCTAAAATCCTCAACAAAATATTGGCAAATCGCATCCAACAATACATCAAAAAGATCATACACCATGAGCAAGTGGGATTCATCCCAGGGATGCAAGGATGGTTCAACATTTGCAAATCAGTAAATGTAATACATCACATAGACAAAAGCAAAGACAAAAACCACATGATCATATGAATAGATGCAGAAAAAGCTTTTGATAAGGTACAACACCCATTCATGATAAAAACACTCCTCAAAGTGGGAATAGAGGGAGCATTCCTCAATATAATAAAGGCCATATATGAGAGACTTACAGCCAACATCATACTCAATGGGCAAAAACTAAAATATTTTCCACTAAGATCAGGAACAAGACAAGGTTGTCCACTTTCACCACTTCTATTCAATGTAGTACCGGAAGTTTTAGCCACAGTGATCAGGCAAGAAAAGGAAATAAAAGGCATCCAAATCGGGAAGGAGGAAACAAAACTGTCATTGTTTGCAGATGACATGATAGTGTACATGGAAAATCCTATAGACTCTACCAAAAAACTGCTCAACCTAAAAAATGAATTTGGCAAAACAGTGGGATACAAAGTCAACATCCAGATTATCAAAGGCATTTTTGTATACTAACAATCAATCAGCAGAAGCAGAAATCAAGAAAAATCCCATTCGATATAGCAAAAACAAAAATAAAATATCTGGGAATAAATCTAACTAAGGAGGTTAAAGACCTGTATGCAGAAAACTACACAGCACTGAAGAAAGAAATCAAGGAAGACACAAACAAATGGAAACATATACCTTGTTCATGGATTGGAAGAATTAACATCATCAAAATGTCCATACTACCCAAAGCAATGTACAGATTCAATGCAATACCTATTAAAGTACCAATGGCATATTTCATAGACACAGAACAAACACTTCAAAAATTTATATGGAACCATAAATGAGCCCGAATAGCAGCTGCTCTTTTGAGAAAGAAGAACAAAGTAGGAGGGATCACAATACCTGATATCAAACTGTATTACAAGGCCACTGTAATCAAAACAGCCTGGTACTGGCATAAAAACAGGCACATAGACCAACAGAACAGAACGGAGAGCCCAGAAATAAACCCAAATCTCTAGAGTCAATTAATATTAGACAAACGGGGCAGTAAAATAAAATGGAGTAAAGATAGCCTCTTCAACAAATGGCATTGGGAGAACTGGACAGCTATGTGCAAAAAAATGAAACTTGAGCACCAACTTACACCATACACCAAAATAAATTCAAGGTGGATAAAAGACTTAAACATAAGCCGTGATACCATTAAAGTCCTAGAGGAGAACATTGGCAGGAAAATCTCAGATATTTCACGCAGCAACATTTTTACTGATATGTCCCCTAGAGCAAGGAATATAAAGGAAAGAATAAACAAATGGGATCTTATCAAAATAAAAAGCTTCTGTGTGGCTAAAGGAAACAGTATTAAATTAAAAAGGCAACCAACTGTATGGGAAAACATATTTGCCAATGATACCTCAGACAAAGGTTTAATCTCTAAAATATACAAAGAACTTACATGACTCCACTCTAAGAAGACAAGCAACGCAATTAAAAAAATGGGAAAAGGACTTGAACGGACACTCCTCCAAGGAGGACATACAGAACATCCAGAAACAGATGAAGAGGTGCTGAATATCGTTAGCAGTCAGAGAGATGCAAATTAAAACCACAATTAGATACCACTTTACACTTTTCAGGATGGCTTATCATAAAGCAACAAACAACAAATGTTGGAAAGGTTGTGGGGAAAAGGGGTCCTTAGTTCACTG